TTCCCTTAAAACTAATGGACGTTTTTATAGTAACATAAAAAAACATGCTTAGAAAGTGTTGAGTGGGTTAATAGAGTAATCAGAAATAAAAAAGCGGATATGTTGCACTTACAAGCGATCGTAGATAAACGAGACCAACTAGCAGACAAAAAGTGGGCACTGAATTCGGCGACCCGCAACGAAGTTGTCAATCTTTTCACCAATTCATCGCTTCTGAGGGCATTGAGCTTTCACCGCTTGTCCACATGTCTAGCGTCGTGTTTAGGCTTTGCCCACACAATAAGAATGAGCATGAGAAGGAGAAATGTTCTTCATCTTGTATTCATGTGATTTCCAGATAAAAACATTAAAATAGGGTTAGTTCTGCTTCGTGCTATCAGAAAGTGACGAATGCATAACCAGAAGAATGTATACAAACAAGCAGGTCTAACTAATCCGCCAAAATATGTCGAGTCGGCAGATGTGTGAAGGAGTTGAAAGAAGAGATAAACTTGCAAACAAACTTGTGTAGATGGCAAATTCAAAGGGAGGGGCTAACAAAAAAAGGAATAGGGCAAAAAGTGCTTGCATAGCCTCGTATTTCTCGGAACAAATTAAGCATTCTTGAAAGAGGCATCGAAACAATGTAAAATTGTGAAAATTATTTGAATGATCGCAACAAGGCAGCAGTGTTAAATGGCTTGTTAGAACAACCGACAATAAAATAAGTGGGACTGAAGTGATTAGTAGCACATGGGAGCCATTAATTCAGCAACAGATTTGTTTCTATCCTCCGTGTACCTGAGACGCGAAAGAGTCTCAGGTATACTTCTCGTCGTCGCGGATTTAGGATAATTCTCGCACAAAACCCAAGTTGGCCACATATTTTTTATCATTTCAATGGATTTAAAAACCTTATTTTGACCTGCCGGTCTCCTATTGAGGCTTTTTATGCACAAAGTAGAGCAGAAAGAGCCGCTTTTGCATTGAATTAGCACCAAATATGCTACACCCAGTTTCCCATTTCCCTTATATGCTCTGTACTAATCCCACCTAATCCCATTGATAGTCAGCAATGCGTCCAAATGTGCGGTGTTTTCTGGTTCCCAATTATCTGCATGCCTTGTCGAGGCCTCTCCTTGCTCATGGCGGGATTCGAGTCCAGGATGCATGATCTCAGACGCCCAATCTTTGGCTCCTGAGTCACGCAGTTGCTGAATTGTTGGAGTCATCCTCTCGCCAGGCATCAAAAGCAAGCTGTTTCTGGTTAAAATAGTGAAATAAAGTGCACGATTTGTTCACGTCTGTTGACGAGACGAGCAAGCCCTACCGACTTTTGGACGGCCATCACGTGGGGCTATACTCCGTACCAACGTTCTGTCCCTTTGTTCATGGGTCTGTATTGTGTTTATTTCTGTGTATGGACATGACTATGTAGATGCATTGGTATCTGTCAACCAAAACGTGGGCAACTAACCTCTCCTCGTCCTAGAAGAGCTGAAAAATGCTCCAAGCGCGAGTTTTTATGGACACTTTTGTGCACTTGCCTGTTAACCGGAGAAGTCGGAATATGTTGGTAACAAATTCATTGCTATGACTTTAGGCCAACCATTCGAAGCTGATGGTGATCCCTCAGGTTTGTTAATCTGCAAGATGACAAACTCATGGTATATGAAAATAAAAGTTGCATTTCGAGGAATCTCTTGTTTCATAATTGTTGAGCTAACTTGCATTTCGAGTGAAATTCGGTTTCACCAGAAGACGACGGCGGATTCCTCTTGACCAGCTGTCGATTGACTTTACTGGCACCGTCATGGTGACACTGTTTCCGAGGCAATCCCCTTCGATTCCAATGAGAAGTTACTAACCTTTCGTCCGTCAAATGATGAACATCATCAGAGCAAGGTACCATCGCAACAAGCAAAATTTAAGAACTTGTTAAAAAAACAGCTTTTTAAAGATTTGCCGGTGGGTTTTCTTGACTCTTTAGCTTAAATTTGCTTGTGACGATGGTACCTTGCTCTGATGATGTTCGTCACATGACGGGCGAAAGCTTAGCACCTTTTCACCGGAGTCGAAGGTGATTAACTCGAAAACAACGTCAGCATGAATGTTCCAGTAAAGCCAATCGACAACTGTTCAAGAGAAATCCGTCGTCGTCGTCTGGTGGAATCGACTTTGGAATCGCTTCACCAAACACTTTCACTCGAAATGGAGGTAAGCTCGACAACCTCATCGTAGTCTGGGCAACAAGTCTCATGATCCGTTTCGATTGAGGACCACTTAGCTCTGCTTAATGAAGACGTGCCATTCATGCTGCGTCACTGGACTTTAATGTTTTACTTTCCCAAGTATTGTATGCGAATCGTATATGATAGACAGGTGTGATGCAATCCTCATCCTTTTTGCCTTATCTATCCATTTCCGTACCAGAGGGCTTATTTATAGGAAAAAATTTTAGACATGTGTGCATGCAAAAAGCACTGGCAAAAATTAAGATCGCAGCAAATTCATTAAAAAAAAGTACTGATAAAACTAGTGTATAATAGGAGCTCAGTCATAAAATATTATTTCTCATAGTCTAGGTAAGCTTCACAATTTGGAATCACTCGATACGGCAGTTGCAAGTATCCAGGATGTCCAGTGGTAACAAAAATTATTTTCGGTCCCTAAATAACAAGTAAGTAGTATCTGCTATAGTCATCTTAACATCATAATTGCATAAATAACGAGTGCGTTAAACGTTCCCGTTGAGGAAATAAAGAACATAGTATAGAATTCAGCTGGCTTTCGAATAGATAGGGACTAGCAACATTTTGTGCTAGAGTCTTAATAAAACTTTTATTTTGAAAAGCTATTAGATACTTTATTTTGTTTAATTAGTTCAGTTGAGCTTGAAGGCTATGGTCATGAGTAATACATTTTGTGAGTCGCTCTTTTTTTTGCTTATAAAATTATTGCCAAAATATTTACGTTTTATCGATGTGTAATTTTTTTCGTCTAGTATTCATGCCTTATTTTTATATATTATTATTTATTACTATATATTATTTTTATATTATTTTTATTATTTATAATATGAGTATCAATTTATTTATTTCACAAAATAAT